AAAGCTACGTGTAACGTTTCATCTGCTTTTCTCTTTTCAAACTCTTTAGTTTTAATTTTAAATAATCTTTTCCCTTCTTCCAGTAGTTCAGTCTCTTCTCTCAGCTGTAGCTTGATGTCCTCAAGTGTATTTTTTTCGTTACACAACGTTTCTTTCTCTTTCTGCACTTGTTGCCGCTCCTGTTCAACCTTCCACTTTGCTGTTTCAAGTTGGCGTTTCTGCTTTTCTAATGATAATTTCTCTCTCTTAATCTTTTGCTTTTCATCCTTATGATCTTGGATCTGTTTCTGTTGTGTGTTACAACGATCTCTGAGTTTGAGAATTTCTTCTTCCAGGAGTTTTACGTGTTTAGCTAATCTTTCTTCCTGGCTTTCTTTTTGATTTGGCTGCTGAATGCTATTACACATGCTATAAACTCCATTTAAATAATTAATCACTGCATTAAGGTTTAAATCAGCTGTTGGCTTTGGCTTGGGGGCGTTTGTTTCACTGGTACCATAATAGTCATTCTGTTCTGATAAATCTTCTGGACTTAAAGTCTGCAGATTGCCTTCAGTCTTTCCAGTTTCATCGTCACATTTAAAGATCACGTTGGGTTTAAAAGCAGAAACTGGATTTTCGTTTGTTCCACTGACTGACTCTTCATCCTCTTGAGAAGAGTCCTCTAAACTGTGGAAAGTTTCTGCTGTCGGCTGACTGCTGTCAGCCCAGCTATACATTTCATTTAGATATCTAATAGCTGCACTGGGACTTAAATCAGCATGTGGCGTTTGCTCTTTGTCTCCGATTCCACAGCAATCTTGTTCTGTAGAGTTTTCTGGACGCACAGTCTGCAGACTGCTGTCAACTCCTACAAGTTCATCCACACAAAAAGCCCCGTTGGGTTTTAAATCAGAAATCTGAGTTTCATTTTTTCCACTGGCTGATTCTTGTTTATCCACTTGTGAAGAGTCCTCTAAACTGTGAAAATGGTTCGCTGTCTTAGTTTGCAGGCTGCTGTTTGAATATTTACCAGCTGCATTGAGTTTTAAATCAGCACATGAATTTAGCTCCGTGGCATTTTTCCCACGGTTCTCATAAAAATCCTTCTTTTGAGAAGAATCCACAAAATCTGAGAGTATTTTCTCTGTAAGTACAGACATGATCCTACCTGTAAAGTTTGTGGTAAATCCGGACTTCAGAGAGGTATGCTGTGCAAGCTACTGTATGACGTGTCACCTAGTCGAATGAGTTCTAAGGTGTGATGTCATCTAAGGGCACGATCAAAGGGTATAGGTCCTGCAGCGTCTGCGTGCCCTGCGTGGGTAGTGGTAGTGCCGTTGTCATTGGGGAGGAGGAGGAGGAGGGGAGGGGGTGGGGGGGTGGGGGGGTGCACAATTGAAAATAGATCACGTGGGATCACTATTCACGTGTCTAACCTACTTTTGGATTTTATCTATGTGTTTCTTATATTTTTTGTGCGCATGATTTGCTCGTTAACAACATTTCGTGTGATTTAGTGAACACCGGAACACACAGCAGTAGTTTTGTAACGCATGAATGAAGGATTTCTCAAGCAGCAACTCAACTTTTCTCCTTACAAATAATGAAATAATGTCCTGAAGTCTCAAAGCTTCTCCTGTTTGAACCGAACATGAAACAATAACGTCCAAAAGAGACATTTTGGTTTGAAAAGTGGTAAAACACTAATGCCGTTGCCATGGAAACGTGTAAACTCTTAAGCTGGATTTATACTTTCCTCGTCAGCTCCAACAGGGAGAGACACGCACGCACGGACGGAGACATTTTCAGACTTCTCCGTCTCCTGGGGAGTGTTGCAAAGCAATTCCGTGCCAGGACAGCAGAGGGCGTAGCGCTGTTCTGTGGTATCCTGTCATGTATCCGGTCCAGTATGTTTATATTGTGTTTATTTATTTGTATATAAGAGACTTTTTAACACAGACAAAATTGTTTCAATTCAATTCAAGTTTATTTCTATTGCGCCTAATCACGACCAGAGTCGTCTCAAGGCACTTCACATAATAAATACTCCAATACAGGTCAGTTCATTAAGCCAATCAGAAAAAAGTTTCCTATAAAAGGAACCCAGCAGGTTGCATCAAGCAACTTTACAGCAATCCTCATACTAAGCAAGCATTTAACGACAGTGGAGAGGAAAACTCCCTCCAACCTCCAGATGATCCTGTTTCAGCTAAGCAGCCATCCACCATAACTCAATGGGGATCGAGAAGACAGAGCAGACACACACACAACATATATATCAAGTAGTGTTTCTATGTAAGATGTCACTTGGTGTCTCCTCTGCATCACCAGGTGGTCTAGGAATCAGATGAAGACCTGAAACTTCTTTGGGTAGGATTACATCTCAGCTGGACTGCGGTAAAGTTAGCTTGAAGTTGGACGTTGGATATTCGACAAACCCGGTTCCCCCGGTTAGCGAAAAGTCTTCATGCCGTGCGCTCCGGCGGCGGTTAGCTGAGTTTCGAGGACTCGCCAACGGGAACGGTGGCTTGCTACGTAGTATCCTACTGGTTTATGTAGTATCTTACTCTTTAGCCATTGGCTAAAATTTATTCAAAATGACTCAAATTCTATGTTTTAAGCTGAAGTTGGCACAATACTGTGGTATTTAGGCAGAATTTTTAATTTTTATAGAAAATACACCAAAATGCTAAAATAATGTATACACACATTTAAAACACTATTAGACACTCATTTATACAGTTCATCAGCAAAAAAAAAAGTTCATTTAGACGTTACTAGCTCTTTAAGGACTATCAACAAATTTGTAGTCCTTTGTAAAGAAGGACAAAAAAACAAAAGCTTCCAGAATAATTGCCTAAATGACTCAAACTTACTTCTGAGTTGTGTTGCTCAACTACATTTACAAGACACAGCAGTTTTAACACATTTCACACAATCTGATCTGTTTTATTCTAATTTTTAACCAAAATGACAATATTTTTTTCAATAGCTCCTAGGTAAATCAGTCTGAATACATAATACCATTTCTCAATGGTGTTACTTAGCCAGACCAATAAGACACAGCAGCTTGTTTCCACAGTTTTCAAGATCTGATCTTTTTTATTAGGATTTTTATCAAAAATTCAGTGATTTCTTCTAATAGCTCCTAGGTTAATTTATTTTAATACTCAAAACCCTTTCTCAGTGGTTTTACTAAGGTAGATCAATGAGACACAGCAGTTTTGATCACATTTCACAAGATTTGATCTCTTTTATTGGAATTTTCACAAATACAGTGATTTCTTTCAATAGCTCTTTTCACACCTCCTGCACCATGTAAGCTGGGTGTGAATGAGTCTCCCAGTGCCCTGGCTGCCACACTCTGTTCATTCAACTGTAGGTATTTGTGTATTTGCTTCATGGTTTTTGCTTGTTTCACCTATCTTCAGCACGCTCTGTTCCCTCAGTGGAGTCATCCTTGACGCCTCCTCCAAACACCTGCGTTTCACATAAGGGTGTTGCCGCTGTACCAGCTGTAATGTTCTGGTTCTGATCTGATTCACTACCATAGACCCTGTTTCAGATCAAACGTATAAAAATTATTAAAATAAGTTTATACTTATTTTCCCAAGCTGAGAGTTCTAAAAACAAGTTAAAATTTGCAGAGAGGAAAAGCAGAGAATAAATAAACCCAAATCCTGTCCAATCATCCTTTGAGCAACATTATTCTCGAACTTTTCAGAAATAATTTGTGAATAATCTAAGCAGCCCTTTCCTGTTGTTGCTCTTCAAACTCTTCTTAATGCCTAACTTAAAAAATATTTGTACACCTAATCAAGTTTCTGCTGAAAACAAACCTCACCACTTAGCAATTGTACTGGACATGGATCAGCCTATTTCAGATCGCCTTTTATATATATATATATATATATATATATATATATATATATATATATATATATATATATATATATATATATATATATATATATATATATATATATATATGAACTTGATTTTAATTGCCTGATTTAAATATGTAATAAAAATGTATTTATGTTATCCTTAACGAGTAACTTTTATTCAATTTCGCAGTTTTTTTATTTAAATTCCCGATAATCGTGATAAACAGATGTCCTGTTTGACTCTTTTGACATTTTCTTAGCTCTGCTTTACAACAAATATGTATTTTCTCCACATTTTATAATTTATTGTGTAAAAAATCACAACTAAAATGGGAATAAATGGAATTTCCCCGCAAGACATTCGCTAGAAGTTCAAACAATACAAAATAAAATGAACGAATTAAAATTAAATGGGGGTGGGGCACAAAAAGCTAACCAGAAAGGAAGAAAACAAAGATTGAATCAAATCTTGTCGAACAAGAAACTTAAATTAAAGGACTAAATACTAAAATAACAAACACATACGTATTAAAATATGCAACTAAAACATTGTCGTCATTTGTAACGTAACATGTCGCAAAACTACAACAAAACAACAGCATTTTCGACACTTGGTCCTGCTTTCTGGCAGCAGTCGGTTACAAATAGGTGCGCGTTTCCAGGGAGCCTGATAGAGGGAAACGGTTCTAGGAAGAGGATGTGAGAGGCGAAACTTCACAGGTAGAAATCAAATCATCGCCAGCTGTAAAGTTTTGCTCGTAACCACAAACTAGTGCTTATTTACGCCGTAAACGGAAGATCATGAGCGCGGCTCTGTTTGTTTTTTAAAACGATAATTAGCTACACGAAGAGAAGTTCTTTGTCTTAGTTTGCGTCTGTTGGGTAAATAATTTGGCTAACTAACTTAAATAACATCTTAAATCTTTGCGCCAACTCGAATGACCAAACGGTAGCTAGCTTGTAGCTAACTAGCGACTACTTCCTTAGAGGAACTGAGCTCATGCCTTTTGATTTGAGGTTGTTTATCACAGAAGCCCTTTCACCCTGGAACGTGAATGCGTCACCTGAGCCGTAATCCTCCGGCGTGTGTCATGTGATCTAAGGATTCTCTTTCATTTACTCTGAACAGGAACCACGAGAGAGCAGCGTGATGGGAGAATGAGGAGAGGTCCCTGGTGTTGGTATGATGGACGGACTGGGAAAGCCGGGATCCATGTGCAGCTGTAAGCCGGCCCATGGCTCATTCAGCCCCCCCAAAAACCTCCAAGCTGCTATGGAAACTCAAAGACTGCTTTTCCTCAAACGGAACAACTCTTCAGACCAATAACGACGTTGGTACCCGTCTTTACTCTCAGATCTGTGGAACTGATGATTTCATGAGCCAGATAGTTAGTGTCCTTTTTGACCTGATTTCAGAACAGTCCCATGGAGAACAAAAACCCTGTGTTGGAGTTGAAGGATGTCCCTCCCCCTCCACACCACACGCCCCCCTCCCAGTTACCCAAGTCCTTATCTTTTGCACCCCTCTCTTTTCCTCCCCCCTGCTTGCTGCCGCCTCCTCCTCCGCTTGTACATGACTCCCACCAACAACAGCCCAAATATCAAGAAGGGGCTAGCCCCAAAGTAAGCATTTGCACTCACTGTGACTGTTGCACCTCAGATGGCTCGTTGGGTAGAAAAGTTGGTGGCGACTGCAGCAGCATTGCTGGTACTGGTGTGCATCATTTGTCTCCCAGCTCTTGTGGAGCACCCATTAGTAGCAGCAATAGTAGCAGACTTGTGACCTGCTCTGTAGCCTCATCAGTTCATCAGTATAAGCAGAGTTGTGGAGGGAAACCTGAAATGTCTGATTCCTTCCTGAGGTTGGGCTTTAAATCTCAGCTGCCCTGTTCTGTGGCTACCTCTCAGCCTCTGTCGTTGCACCCTTACTTCCCCTGCTGCTCAGGGCCTCACAACTACTCAGCTGTACCTTTTTCATGCACTCAGTCTAGCGCATTTCCATCTTCTGCACCCCTGGCTTCTTCCACTTCCTCTCTTGCTTCCTTGCGGGGGTCTTGCCTGGCCCCTTCTGGCTGTAACCCTTGTGGTGTGAACTCATCCGCCAGAGCATCCCACAGAGCCATACTTGATCACCCGTCTACCACAACCATCACTACTTCCACCACCTCAGCACACTTCTGCTCTAACTCTTTGCACCTAAATGTAGAGCGCACGGTTTGTGGGAATGGGGCGCACTTCTGCTGCCAGGAGTGCTTTTTACAGGTTGGTTCAGGTTCACTTTATTTCTATTTAAGTATTTATTTATGCTGTATTTGCATGCCTTGATGGGATTTTGTGCTTGTCGCATGAAAAGAATAAACAATAATTTTTCTTTAAACAGGAATTTTGCCAGTTTATGGTTCACTTATAAATGTTTCTTACTCTTTTCAGCCCAAGATCAGTCCGACCTCAGAGTCTGAGAAGGCGTGGCCCAAAGTTCCTGCTCCTCACGCCGCTTCTGTCCCTGTCCCCATCTGTAATGGCTGTGGGACGTCCTCTGATGCCATGGTGCTCAAGCCGTCCACCACCTTCGGAAAGACCACCCAGAAGTATGGTTAGTGGACTTTAATACAGCTTTCATCTCCGCTTTGTTTTGTGGCTTACTGTCGAAAAGCCGAAGCCCGATGGAACCGCTTTGATTCTGTTTTGTAAGGTTCTCCAGAAAACGGCGTTCCCGAGAACATCCCTCCAGTGGGCGTCTTTTGGGACATTGAGAACTGCAGCGTTCCGAGCGGACGCTCCGCTGAAGCTGTTGTCCAACGTATCCGCAGCCGGTTCTTTCAGGGACACCGAGAGGCAGAATTTATTTGTGTTTGCGATATCAGTAAGGAGAGCAGAGTGGTCATCCAAGAGCTCAACAACTGTCAGGTATCGGCGAAAACTGAGTTGGAATCTTTTCCCTCTTTTATAAACTGCTGAAGTGTTTTTTTTTATGCAGATTTTGTTTACTTGTGCTGTTTTTTTCAGTACACGATCGAACTGGTTGTTCCAAAACAAAATGTTCGTTTGCCTTTTTTTGTCAGGTTACAGTTGCACACATTAACGCCACAGCCAAGAACGCCGCGGACGACAAGCTTCGTCAGAGCCTGAGGCGCTTCGCTGAGACCCACGCGGCTCCCGCTACCGTCGTTCTGGTGTCCTGTGAGTTTTCAGTCGAGTACAACAAACTGAAGGCACAATGCTGCAGACCTGCTCTGACTGAGCTGAATTACTTCTCCCCAACAGCGGATGTGAATTTTGCCAGCGAGTTGAGTGATCTGCGCCATCGCCACGGCTTCCAAATAGTTCTGGTTCACGGAAACCACGCGTCGTCAGCGTTGCTGCAGCACGCCCACCGCCATGTGGCCTTCCAGGAGATCACGGCAGATCTGCCACAGCGTGTTCTCGTCAAAGCACAGGTAGGCCGTTCAGATGCTACGTTTAGGTGTAGTAGGGTTGTCACAGTAACTGGTGTAGCAGTAAACCCCGGTAAAAAAGTTGACAATAATAATAACCGTCTTGTTTTTTAAAAATTCTATTATCTCGGTGGATTAGCGTGGCTGCGGTGTAGGCGCGGTGACCCTTACCAGCCACCGTATCAGCTGCTGAAGTTGCCGGCGGCACATGCGCACTTTGTTGTTTACAACCAAAACTTTCTTGAAGCTAAAGCTGAAATAATGGCCAAAGGAGGAGACGGCAGCGCTCAGAACATTCATTATCCCTCAAAGAAGACAGAGTGGGAAGTACGGGCATCTTTTGGATATCTGAAGAATGCCGAGGGACAGCTGATAGAAGACGGCTATCCTGTTTGCAGCACGTGCAGAAAAAGTGTCTGTGAAAGGCAGCAACGCTTCAAATCTCATGACACATCTGCGTGACCATCACCCACAACTCTACAGTCAATGCAAGGCAAGCTAACGTTAGCGTTTTAGCTAAAATGCGTGATCCGAGGATTTGGGTTGAGGGAGAATGCAACGAGTTGCTATATAAAGCAGCCGCAGCGCCGCTACCTGCATATAAACCGTGTCGCGGACACCGCCATGTTGAATCGACGCTATGCATTACGGGGCTCCCAGGGGCAGATAAGAGTTGGTCTCTCTCCGAGAATAATTATGAATTTAACAACGATTACTGCCTGATGACATTTTCCCACATCTGCAAAGCTCACTGGAAGAACACAAACCGAGGACAATATTTTCCTGATATAGGGTTTATTACTCAAGTAAGGGTAAAAAAGTATCTGATTAGAAGGCTACTTGAGTACTGAGTATCATCTGATCTAATATTTTTAAAATGATTACATCAAACAGAAGAAAATAAGAAGTTATGGGCAAATATTGGTATTTTGAAGACTAAAGGGGAAAAATGTAAACAAATAAACAACATCATTACAAATTAACACATTTTAGGCCAAATTTAGACACAAACTGAGGACAATATTTTCCTGATATACAGGGTTTATGTAGCTGTCTGAAAATGTAACACGTTTAAAAAAAATACTGCGATAATACCGAAAACCGTGATATTTTGGTCACAATAACCGTGAGGTTACATTTTCACACCGTGACAACCCTAAGTCTAAATCTGTTATCTAAGGTAAGTAGTGACTCCACGGTTACAAAGACCATTTCAGTTTGGACTCCTCAAACAGAGACGGGTGGATTTTTATTACTGATGCTTTTTAAGTCCTTCCAGGTTGTTCATGTGATGCTTGAGGTAATTTAACCTCCTTTTCCCATCAACACACGATTCTACAGTAATGTTAAAGCCGCTCAGCTGTTTCACCAGGACTCTGGTAGCTGCTCGTGTGTTTTCTTATCAACACCAACTGTTAGTTTTCCTTTATTCATTCCTTCATCCTTTCGTTCTGTCCTGGTTAGTCTGACTTCTGTTTCCTGAGTGTTGCATGTCATCAGAAATGGGAGGATTACCCAGGAAGATGTCTTCAATATTGTTTCAACGAAATCAGAGACCAGAAGTACAGAAACGTCTCGTTTAGCTGAGATTTAACTCCTTTGCGTTTGAATGTTGATAAAATATGTTCAGCGTGTTGTTTAGATGGGTCTGAAGAACTCGTCGTTCTGGAAACTTCCTGTCAGCGCTGTGTAGAAATAAAAATGTAATTACACAAAGCAGACGGGCACAAATCTCTTCCTCCCCTCCTTCAGCCCAGTTTCAACCTCCTCTATGTGCACAACCTTCCCATCATCTGTGACAAGAGTCTGAGGAATGCCGTGAAGCTCAGGCTCCGCCGCCTGTCAGACAACTGTGGCGGCAAGGTCCTTGGCATGTCCCAGGGAACGGCGGTCCTCCGGTTTGGCAGTGCCGAGGCGGCTGCACGGGCCCGCAAGCGAATGGAAAACGAGGATGTCTTTGGCCACCGAATCAGCCTCTCTTTCCACCCGAGGCCCAGAGATGAAGCCGGTCCTGAGGCTGAGCTCCAGTCTCAACCTCCTCTCTTGCCTCAGCCCCCCATCTTTCAAACCCAGGATACGATTTTTGCCCCTCCTCCTCTTCCTTCATCCATATCCACGTTTTCTTTCCTACCTCTGGAGAAGCCCAGATCACCAAGGAGGCCGAGGCGAGCGCCTGAGAGGGCCTACAGCCCTAGAAGGGGGTCCAGTGGACCGCCTGGTGGTGCTTCAGTCAAATCCCATCAGGTCAGCAGACTTATCCATGCCTGCTTCCCGTCGTCCTCCTCTGCCCTCTGCTCTTGTTTGGGCTGCCCCCCCCCTGGTGTCCTGATTACTGCTTTAACTAACTGCATGTTTGCCTTCATTCATCTTCTGCTTGGATGTAGCATGTGCTGTTAGCTGCTGACGCTCATTTCCCTGCATGTGCATCCCTCCTGTCGTCGTGCAGATTTGATCATTTATGTGTTGTGTTGGATGAGCTTGTCCAGTCATTCTGTAGGAATTTGGCTCTGAGCTCTTCGCATCAAACCCTGCCGGCTCGTCTCTTCCTGCTTAAAGAGCAAGTCACCCCCAAATCAACCTGTTTTTCCTGATAAACTACATAAATGTGTGTCTAATCGTGCTGCAGACACGTGTAGTCAATAGTTTTGCACTTTAGTGCATCTTGGTTAAAATTTTTATTTTCTGCCTAAAGTGCCGTTGTCAGGTAAAAACTCTGCACTGCATTTGAATTTAAATCTGCCATCGCTATTGGCTAAGAGGTACCCTAGAACGTTAGCTGGTACCATATGATGTCACAATGACGTTGTGAGCCTGTGTGTGTGTATTGGTTAGCGGCTCCGCCCTCTCGGTCTGCTAGGCAACAGCATTTGTTGCGTTTTTCAAACAGGAAGTGGGAGTGGAGTAATGCTCTGGTAGGGGGTGACTTGCTCTTTAATTATGATCAAATAAAGTGGTTGTTGAAACGGGAGAAAACAGATCCGTTAATGGTGAAACTAGGGATGAGCTTCTGAACTCTATAAACTAAAGTTTTATTTAGCTCACTAATAGGTGAATTTAAATTTGCATAATTGTAAAATAAGGATTATTTTGTTCATCCTTAGTTTTACTACTAATTTGTCTCTTTTTGTCCAGTTCATTTTTAATTCCCTGACCAAACCTACTAACCACTCGTTCACCCCTCAGTTTTCCAACACGAACTTGTTCCGGGAGTACTGCCTCACCCACCTTGCTGTTTTTTTAAGGAGCTGGTTAACATGGAAGGTAAATCCAGGATGGGTCTGCATCCTCTGGACAAAGGAGATTCTTCCACGTCACCTCGCAAAAATGATGAGAAAGCAGCCCTGGAGCACCCGCCTGGCTTTAGAAGAGAATCCGTGCTCAGGAGGAGGTAGAGACGCCAGAAATGAAGTTTTAACTGATTAAATATGAAGTGCTTTAACTCGCACTGCTGTGGTTGGAGTACACGTGTAGTTTTCGACTCTTGTTTTAAAAACATGGCTGCTCTTGTCAAAACCCCTCCCTTTTGTGTCAGAGAGGGCTCCGTCTCCCGGAGTCTGACCGAGTCTCCCGTAGACCAAAGAGAGAGAAACTCAGGGGAGTTCCAGATTAGCACGCCCTCCGCCTTCAGCAAGCTGAACCTGCACCGGAGCTTCAGTCCTCTCGTCGTGTCTCCGGGGTCCTGGTCATCCAGGTACGAATGGCCTGGCATCTCTCAGCGATCAGACTAAAGGCCGGTTGTTCCAACCTCTTTTCTTCCTCCCACATGTAGGAGTGGATCCCCCTGTCTCTCCAGCCGCTCCTCTCCTCTGCTTGCTACCCCTCGTAGCTCTCGTCCCGAAGGTCCCCCTGATCCCTTCTCAGAAGGTGCAGAGGTCCAGGTGGCCAACCTGGACTACAGAATGTCTCGTAAAGAGCTGCAGCAAACGTTGCACGACACCTTCTGTCGATACGGCCAGGTAACCCTTCCTGTGGTCTCTGATGAGCATAAACGTTATTCGTGATTGTCGCAGCACGTTTCCTACGACTCTCCGAATGGTCTGACTTTAGGTGAAAGCCGTTGAGTTGAGCCCCCACACGGACTACCAGCTGAAAGCCACCGTTCAGATGTCGTTGCTACAGCAGGCCATCGGCGCCGTCAGCGGTCTGCACCGCTATAAGATCGGAGGCAAACGCATCCAGGTGTCTCTGGTCACCGGTGGCAGCAGCAAACCCCTCACCACACTCAGGTGCCGTTGATGCATCACGTTAGGTGGAAAGTTCGACTGTTGGATGTCTTGAAACTCTGCAGGAATTGTTGGATTAAATTTCACTTCGTGATTCTGCAGCTCAGAGATGATCTGCATTCTTCAAGATGCCCCTGCCAGCTGCCTCCCTCTGTTCAAACTCGCCGAGATCTACGAGAAGAAGTCAGTGCCGGTCGCGAAATAACTTCGCTTCCCATATTTTTAGTTTTTGCATTTTAGGATTTGAATGAAAATTCATAACAATGAGCTTTTCTGCGCCCCTCCCTTCATCCAGATACTCCCGTAAACTAGCGATCGGGGATCTGTACAGACTACCAGATGTGATCTCCGTGCGGGAGCAGGGCGGCTCCAGGCTTGTGTGCCTTCTCCCCAACAGCCAAATTCGCCAGAGCCCTCTTGGATCCTCTCAGTCCCAAGAAGGTTCCTCCTCAGCTAGCGGGAGTCCCGTTGTGTTCGAGGAGCTCGAGTATCACGAGCCCGTCTGCAGACAACATTATGCACACCAGGACTTCAGGTATAGGTGCTCGCTTAGCTGACTTCCTGCAGACTCGCTCCTATTTTCTCCTTGATTTTGGAGATTTATTTAACTTGTTTACAGCGAAGCTGACTTCGACCCCGACTCCTATAAAGTCCCGTTTGTTGTGACATCACTGAGCAGTTTGGCCTCAGCTGTCCACAGCCTGCTGGAGTCTCACGGGGGCACGCTGCCACTTCTCAGGTAACGGTCAACTCCTTAATCAGCCGGTATACTTGCACAAACGATAAAGCGAATGCATGCTGCTCTTTATTTTAAACGTAGTTTTGTAGACTGCTACGCCGAAAAGTTCAGCCCTCTGCAGTTTGGCAGTGAGACACTAGAGGGCGGTGTTCCTCTGGAGCACTTGATCACCTGTGTTCCCAGCGTCACCTTGGTAACAGCCCAGAACGGGTTCAAAGTTATCAAGTGGACCCACAACAAGCCACCTGCACAGAACTCTGGTAGGAACGTTCGCCAACACCAGGATTGTGATGTGAAGGGAATTTATTTTTCGTGGTTTATTGGTTTCGGGTGTTTTTTTTTGTTTTCAGAGTCGTGGATTCAACGCTGCAGGAGTCCGGTGGGCAATCCGCAGCTCATCCAGTTCAGCAGAGAAATAATCGACCTGCTGAAGAATCAGCCGTCGTGCGTCATGCCAATCAGCAAGTTTATACCTTCGTACCATCATCACTTTGCTAAGCAGTGCCGTGTGTCGGACTACGGCTTCTCCAAGCTGCTGGAGCTTCTGGAGGCGGTCCCGCATGTTCTGCAGGTAACGCAGCAAGGTTCACCCGTAAAACCAGCGTCTAGCGGTGCACCTAATGTGTGCGGTGTGTTCTTTACCAACAGATACTGGGTATGGGTACGAAACGTCTGCTGACCCTCACCCATCGAGCCCAAGTGAAACGCTTCACCCAGGATCTGCTTAAGCTGCTCAAGTTTCAAGCCAGCAAACAAGTTGCAATTAAAGACTTCACGCAGGCGTACCATTGGTCAGTGAGTGGGTTTAAACCTGAACAATGGTGTCGTTAGGTGGTGGAGTAAACCCAAACGTTCTGTGTTCTGGTCTAGGTGCTTCTCCAGAGACTGGAGGGTAACGGATTACGGCGTCTGTGATTTGATGGACCTGCTGACGGAGATCCCCGACACCACCATCACCATCGCTCAGCAGGAAACCGACGCGGTCATTTCCGTTCCTAAAAGGGGTCGGTGCTGGTTTAGGTTGTTGTAAACGGAGGTCGTTTTTTCTGTAGTGTATGTGGGGCAGGGTAAAGGTTGCTGCCGCCTAGCAGCCAGAGTTTGAATGACATCACACGAAAGGAAAGCGGTAAACATTTGGATGTAGGTTCTCGATAAGAAGTCCGCTTTTAAATATCGACTCGGTATCGTAACGCAAAGACGGCGCTATCGGTGTTTTCGTGCATCCCCGATGCCGACACGGGGTCAAATGTTGGAGTTTCAATTCTTCAGCTGAAATCATCTCAGGCAGTTATTGAATGATTTTGTGTTTTGTAGATCGTACTGTTGAGGAAATGGAGCGAACCAAGCAGTTTGGGAAGGAGGTGGTGGACCTCCTCCGCCACCAGCCTCGCTTCCGGATGTCGTTCAGCAAGTTCATTCCCACCTACCATCACCACTTGGGTCGCCAGTGCAAGCTCAGCTACTACGGGTTCACCAAGCTGCTGGAGCTGTTCGAGGCCATCCCCGACATCGTGACGGTGAATGCAGACGGATTATTCTGCTCCCGCTGACGTGTGAAACATGATCATTAGTGTCGGATTCCTGCCTCCCTCTTCTTTCCCCTGGCCTGAGTGGATTCAGTCCAGTTTACGAGCTCTCGTCGTCTCCTTCAGGTGCTGGAGTGCAGCGAGGACAAAGTGCTGATTCTGACAGAGGTGGAGCGCATCAAGGCTCTGGCGGCCCAGCTGGTGAAGCTGCTGCGGACTCAGAACCACTTCAGCCTCCCCGTCAGCCAGCTGCTCACGGAGTACAGCAAGACCTTTGGTTACGGCCTCCGCCTTCAGGACTATGATGCCACCTCCCTGCCTGCTCTGCTGGCCAAACTTTGCCATGTTGTCAAGGTAGAAAAGGAGGAGTTAGTTCGACATCGCCCTCAGAGTCGAGGGTTCCTAAAAAGTATCATTTACTTTTCACCCTACAAACATCTTTTTTTGTTTTGGTGAAGGTGGTGGACGGCTCCGAGGGCCGAGAAGTGCAGCTGATCAACAGGAAGTCTCTGCGGCTGCTGACCTCTCAGCTTTTAGCTCTGCTCATGTCCCAGGATGACGGTCAGGTGACCAGAGGGATGAAGGTGGAGGAGCTGAGCCGCCTTTACCTGAGCGTTCACGGTACGCAGCTGAACCCGTGTGAGTACGGGTTCCTCTCTCTGAGCGAGCTGCTCAAGAGTCTCCCGTATCTCGTGGAGGTAAGAACAAGCTTTTCTCTAATCGAAGGCAGATTTTTACATTTCTGGAGTTTAAAGCTGTTACGCTTCGTCTTTGTGGTCAGTTATACCAAGAGGGAAGCGGTGACGGTGATGCCAGTGGTCCGGAGGATGAATGGGTGAGACTGGCGAGGCTTTACCAGTTTGCTCGTAACGTCCGTGCGCTGCTCCACACCTACCACTACAACCAGATCTTCCTGACGGAGTTCCAGGGGGCTTATAACAAGTTTACGGGCTGCAGCCTTGAGCCACGCTCCTACGGATACTTCAGCGCTGATGAGCTGCTCGGCGCTATTCCACAGGTGGGAGGGTCCCACTGACCATTCCTCAACCAGTCAGGCTTCTCTGGATGAAACTACCATTATTTATTGTTTTTGATCAGGTGGTCTGGATCAAAGGGCACGGTCACAAGAGAATTATCGTTTTAAAGAACGATATGAAAGGTAAGCGCACATTTCCTTGTTGCAGCACTGAAATGGTTCAGATCCTGATGTTCCTAGTGACGCCGCCTTGTCATTTGGATACATCTGGAAAGTAACTGTAGCGATGGCGTTGTCACAGGTTGGTATTTTTGAATGTGTATTACTTATTTAGTCGTCTGACTTGTCTGTTTCAGCAAAGACGAGTTCTTCAGTCCCCAGCAGCCCCCAGCCAGGGGAGAGTCCAAGAGACAGTCCTGTTAGCAGTGCAACATCTGCAGCCGCCAGCCCCGGTGATTAAACCCACAGAAATGTCCCGTGAACGAGTTCGTGGTGGGTACACCAGCCTAACAGCGTTTGAATTTCCAGGTGTTGATGCAGCTGCAGAGCCTGAGCTGCTGTGTCTGACGTCACCGCTGGATCTGCTGTGCGGTCCCGTACCATCCTGCCTGCCGTCGCCTCAGCTCCACCCTGACCCCATCGGTCCCCAGCAGGTGGACCTGATCAACTTTGAGAAAACTCAACTGCTGACGGGTCAGTTTAACGTTGCAGGTTTAACACCAAGTTAGTCCGTTTGTTGCCTTTTTACACGAAAAAAGCACGCTTTGGCTGATTTCTCTCTGCGAGTAGCGTCGACACGAAAGTCTCCAAATGATCTCGAAGCATCAGTGAAGGTTCTCAGGTTCTCGCTTGACTGCAGGTCTGGGAATCCCTTTCCCGATATGATTTTAACCGTCTGATCATCCTCTGGGTCCGTTTGGCCCCAGACAATGATTATTATTCAAAAGAATTAAAGTAAATTTATTATTTGGCTTCGTATTTGATGGTGACAACCAAGCATTCAATTTTAATGAAGCTTTATGAAAACCCCAAATTCAAAATCTGTTAGAATATTAAAAGGTTGCATATTGTAGAGTCGGAGCATCACACTGATGGATCCAAAACACCTGCAAAGGGTCCCTGAGCCTTTAATCCTGGTCCTCGAGGGCTGGTATCCTGCATGTTTTAGTGGATTCCCTGCTCCAACATTCCTGATTCAGCAGCTAAATCACCTGTTAACACCTGCTGATTAAAATCAGGAGAGTTAATGCAGGGAAACCACTAAAACATGCAGGATGGTGGCCCTTGAGGACCAGGACTCCTCACCCTTGCTTTAAATTGTCTCTCAGTCTAATTACTGAAATACATGAATTTTTGCAGCATATTCTCAGTTTTACAGTTTCACCTGTTTTTGCTGTCGCTGGAATCTAGAGAATATTCTAAAAATTCACAAGTGTGTGTGTGTGTGTGTGTGTGTGTGTTTAGAGTGTGAATCTGAAGAGGCAGCTGCAGACGACCCCTCTGATCCACCTGAGCACCCCGGGGCCACGCCTCCCCCTGACTCGAGGAACTCCTTGTCCCTGAGCAGTCCTGGCAGGAGAGATAGTCGCAGCAGAATCAAGCTAGCTGCTAACTTCTCCTTCACAGTAGGCCTCTGATCCCATCCCACACACAAGCACAGTAACTCTGAAACCAGAGTTGAACTACTAGTCTGCGTGGAAACGGCTTCTCAGAGGGGTTTTCGTTTTCCCCTCACGAGCTCGTCATGCTCTTCTAGGTTCAAATGTCCTGATGTTCGCCACGCTGTGATCCACTTGTTGCAGATTTACTGCAGTGCTTTGATTTCTCACTTTTCACCTGCTGTAGACAGTTTGTCCCCATGTCACGGTTTCCAGGAACGTGCATCTTTAAATCGGAGCCATGGTCATCATGTTGAACTCGTCACGAATGAAGCCGAGTTGTCTCTGCATCGAGGTTTCAGTTTGTAAAACTGACATAAATGATTTTTGTTGGTAAACCATAAGAAACCCTTTAAACGACTTCCATGCCGCGTGCTGAAGAACAGAATCTCTCATTTCAAACCTAATTTTGAACATTAGAGCTTTTTCAGGCTGATTAATTACATATGAAGAGAAATCCAGCTGATAAACGGCTGCCTGTTTAATTCAGATTTTTAAAGAAGTAGCTTGTCCTGCGTCGTCCCCGTCAGGAAGGGTAGGAGTTTAGTTCCTTCTAGAATATGCAGAGGGTCTCGTCCCACGTGGAAGAGCTTGCAGAATGATGAAAAACCAGCTAAGGATCCGACTATGACCACTCTTGGATTCTTTTTTTTAATCGTCATACTTGATTTAAGGAAACGCACTGACTTGTTTTAGGAGGCTTTAATGAAGCCCTGGAGGAGGAAAAGGGCATCGTGTGTTTAGCAGCAGTCGATCTCAGCCAGCAGCTCGTTTTAGCCGTCTGCGTGGTTTACACGGGGGAGGGTGGTGTGCATAACGGAGTTTATGCAAGGTGTAACCCGGAGGAGCAGACCGAAGCCGACGGCGACGTCGTTTAAGATCAGGCCGGCATCACAGTTGGAAGCTGCCTGGGAGATGCTGAAGGTTTGTCGAGTTAACCTTTCGCCGCTCGCGTTGGTGACATCGGCAATGGGAGGACGAGTTTGAGGACAGCGGCATCTGCTGGTTTGTTTTGATGGTTTTAAACGCACAGATGTGAGTTTTAGGAGCGCGAGATGGGACAGGAGGTGATGAATCTGAGGACGGATCGAGTCCTGAATGGACCGACGTCCTCACAGAGGTCCTCTGGCTCTCTGGAATCTGCCGGGCTTTTACAATGGCTTGTATTTGCCTCGGCGCTGAAACAAGGTGCCATCTTTCCTCCGCACCCTCTCACAGGAGGAGTATTTTTAAACTTGTGGATGTGTCGCGTTCTCAGCTTTTTTTCTTTTTTTTTTCCCCATCTTAAGTGTTAAATCAGCTGCTGGCTGTAAAGTTTCCATCGCTCTCTCGCTCGTCGGCTGCTTCTGAAGTCTGGCGCTGCCGGCTGTGTCGAGGAAGGACGTTTAGAGAATGGGTAGCAGCCCATTAAACCAGTCTGAAGCTTCCACCTGCCATCCCACAACGACGTGAGCTCTTCTGGCCCGTTTCTCCAACCCTCTCGTTAACGAGTCACCAGCTTAGAATGATTATGTACAATTGTTAATGACAGAAAATACTCCAGATGATGTCTAGATTTGAATTTACCAGCACAGAGAGCAGATTTCTTTGATTTCAGCCAATCCTAACAAACCCTGTGTTCCAGTTCATTTATCCGAGTTTTCATATCGATTGAATCAGTGAGAAGTGGCTGTATCTGTTCAAATATGCAGTTATGCATACATTTTAGTTCATGAAACACGTTCGACAAGTGCGTTTGTCGGTCCCGGACTGTCTGATCACCCCTCACCCGTCTCACTGCCTTCCTGCACCAAAACAAGGTTGTAACAGTCGAATGTTGCTCAAGCGGTGAAAACATTGTTAATAAAAATCACAAGCATCATTCTGGCTTCTGCTTCGTTTTTCTTGAGGGAATAAAAACAAGTTTTTTTTTTTTTTTTGAAAGATGCTCTTTATTTAAACATATGTACAAGCTTCAGCTGATATTCTGCATATTTGTTAGATCTGACTTAAATTCACCACACCTACAGAACGTCACGTTACCGGAAGGAGAAGGTGGTGGAGAGCAACACGAGTCACTAATGTCAAGCCGACATCGTCGATAGGAGGCCTTTACAAATGCCTCGTTCCTTTTCTGGTATTTAGCAGAAAAAGCCAGAGTTTCATACCCATTTTTATAATGATGACATCACGGGTAACATTTCCAGTTGGGTGGAGCTTTGAGACACTGATTCACCTGCAAGTGGCTTGTAAACGATGGCTAATGGCACTGATGCGATCCAGCTTTGCAGCAGAATGTGAGGATGTTCGTTTCTTGGTGTTTGTGGATAGAAACGAGCTCCTGTTGACCTTTAGTCCATGGCGAGGTAACATCAGGCTGCCGTGTTCAACAGGTTAGTCTTTAGTGAAAATTCGGTCATCAACTGTACGTTTTGCTCCCTCGCCCATTCCTGTTGATGGATGTTGTGCTTTTAGGGTTGACTTTGCAATCCCACACCGTCTTGTAGACTTGTTACTTGGCTTGTGTGGAGTACTTTTAATAGCAGAATATCGTCCCTGCTATCGATGCCGGTCATTGGAGACCACCATGCTTTACTCCAACACACCTGATTTAAAGGCTGAATCACCTCAAGCCCAGCATAAGCTGGTAATTTCCCATGGATTTGGTGTAGTAATCTAAAACTAGGCCCAATCCCAGTACTCGCACTTGCACACTTACGCCCTTCAATTGTGCGATCCCAGCCAGGGATGTGAGTGCAGAAGTTGATCACGCCACTTTTACTCTTGATTCGCACTTTTCCCGAGTCTGAATCGACACGGACTTGAGGGAAGGGCATTACCCACAATCCATTGCTGTGGGAGAAAAGGCCCAAGTACCTTTTCTGAAAACACGGATTTTCAAATGAAAGTAGATTTTTTTTTGCTGATTAATTGATGCTCTGAATGTTTTAGACAAGGCAGCAATGGGTGTAAATTTATTTCAAATAATTATTTGGTTGAAAGTTGTAACTTTTTATTTATTTTTTAAAGAAACCTTTATCATGGCGACCAGCATCCTGGGGTGCGTTGTGGTCGATGACGCAACCCTCCCTGTCCCAATTCGGCATTTATTTGCACACTTGTGTTCCACGCACTCGAAGCCTTACAGCACACTTCCTCCGAGTGCACTTTGCTGAAGTCCGCAGTGCGAGTCTTGGGATTGGGCCCAAATCCAGTTCAAAAGATTCTTGCATCCTTGTTGGACCGGTCCGGTGTCTCCTCATTGGCTAAGACTCCTCATTGGCTAAGACTATCTCGGGAGCTATTGCAGGCCGGATGGGAGGTTTTTGTAATAATGGTGGCAAGCAGGAGAGGATTAATTTTAAATGTTAAATATTAATATCTGACCATAGAAAATAAAAATGACGGCGGTTGTTTGGCTTTTTCATTTGCATATCATTTCATTTGGGTCTAAACTAAATGGAACAAAATCCTCAAATGACTTCATATTGTGGCTCCTGTAGTTCTTACTTATTACAGATGAGTGTTTTTTAACACCTGTTTGGCACACTCACGGTTGCTAGGCAACAGGACTTTCGCTGAGGTAGAGGTGGGAATAAATATGAAGGCTGGGCTGTTTAAGTTCACGACCACTCACTTCCTGTCTAAGTGGGCGAGGAAGAACCAGGGGTGTTTCTCAATGTCAAGGCGCCTTGCTTACGAGGACACGGTCCTTTGTCCAAAAAAAACGGTTAAAAGGAACAGACTTGCATCACGTGACCGCGGCTTCCACGGAGGTCACGTGACACGGGAGATGATGTTAAATTTTATACGCATTAGTTTCAATATAAATATATAACGAGAATTTACTTTTTAATTTGTGTATGTTTATTAAATTAAAAAGTATCTTTGGATCTAAAAAAAAACATTTTAAATTAGTTGACTCACTTTTAAACTTAAATTGTCCCTGAAGTAGCTGCCAGCTTCTGATCCACCATCCTTTTGAAAATACCGCGGTGTATTGTGGGTAATTTTTTACCATGGCTAGGCTACAAGACTCCTCCCGTGTATCCTCTCTCAGCTAGCTAAATGGCTAACAAACGGAGAACACGCGCCTCGGTAGAACGTGAACATTGGAACACGTCTTGGCGGCTCCCGATGACGTATCTCCTAGGCAACCGGGGCGGGGCCCAGACATCAAGGCAAGGTTCCTCGGCATTGAGAAACACCACTGGTCTACATAGGTCAGGTCCTTACAAGGATACTACCCCTAAATTTGGACACGCCCAGTTTAGGTTGCAGCAAACCTTAAATATGTTTCCATAAATGAATCAAACTCTTGATTTTATATCTTAAGATGGTTTAACAAATCTGTTCAAGCAATCTGAGTGAAGTAGTCTGAAGATGCTGACTATTCATGAAGGAATGATCAATAAATAAATCCACATACAGTCATCTAATTTTATTTACACGTCCCTCCGCGGCATCTGTTTTATGTACAGTCCTGGTAAACGTCGCTGCTTCCTCCTGAACGCCTGCAGGTTAAGAATAAATCTGATTTCTGTGGGTCTCTGAATAACGGAGTGGTGGTGTGAGTGTTGAACCAGACAGGAGGTCGGGCTTGGTTACATCACAGTGCACTGGGTGGCTCCACAGCAGTCTTTAATGATGGCCGCCCCTGACTTGGTAATGGAAGGTTTGTTGGGAGGCGCCTCTGGGATCTGTCTCTTCTTTGGAGGATCTTTATATTAATAAAATAGAGAAATCATCAGAACAGCACGAAGATAAAAAAGTGCATTACTCTGATTTATACTACATGTACTTACTCTGTGTAACTTTGAGCTTCTGTTCCAGAGGCCTCAGCTTCAGCCTGAGGAACTCGGCCATCTCCTTGTCTTCCTCTTTCTCCCTGTGGTGAGACGCGTGTCACAACTCAATAAAAATCCATTGTCCAAAGCAGACGGTGACATTTCATCTGACATAGAAGTCGTTGTGTCTTAATATTTGGCTGTTGTATTGTTTGACATGTCAGATATATATTTATATAAAGTGTTTCCAATAAATCCTTTTAGAAGTAAACTTCTTGAAAATGGTTTGATGGCTCTGTTGGGAAGAAAATTCCAAACTTGGCTGGAAACAGAATTTAAAAGTAAAAGGTCCGATTTTATCTGCTGATACTGGCCTTGAAATGTAATAACAGAAACGATCTGTTCTGGTTTTTACTTTTTTTTTATGATACGTTTACATACAATGCACACATTATATACAACCAACTCTTCATCTGTTCTCACACAGAATATCAGAATATGGCAGAGCCTAGGTTTCGTTTTTGATCACTTTGTTGTTTTTGGAATACGATCGATCACTCGGAGTTTCACATGCTGAACGTGCATGGTCTTGTCCCCATGTTTCGTGGATTAGCCGCAGATAAAAATAGACGCGGTAACACTGGTCAGAAAAAGCTGTAAATTTAGCCTTCAGGAAGTCGTCCATCTTGACTCACTAATGGGTCCAACGACAACAGTCAGAACAACGTTGGACCATCCATCTGAAGTCCTCCTCAGCTATGGCTCCAGGGCTAGTGAGTGTTATTTAGGCGCCGTCGCTTCTTGTTTTGCTTGAGGACTCGTTTTTATGTGACAGCGTTTCAATAACTTCGCCTTGATCTTTGATTGTTTTTGTGTGGTTTCACACGTTTGTATGATTTAGTCTTTTTAGACTTTCTCTTGAATGTTTTGACCTTCTTTGTTTCTTATAATTATCGTGGGTTTTGTGTTCGTTCAGCACCTTGGGCTTCTGATAAGGTCGTGGGAGATGCTTTATGTAAATAAGCTGTTTCGAGGAGGCATCTATTAACTGCGTTCTGTATACAAGTCGAACCTTAATCTCTCCACCTCTGCATCGTCCACCAGGAAGTCCCTTTTCTGCACCAGCTTATGGATCTTCAGGATCAGCTCTTCCTCTTGCTGCCTGTGCTTCTTGTTTTTGTCTTTCTCTGGTGGAAAGATAAGGCCGAAGCACAACATCCACACAATAAATGATTAAAAACACATCTTAATTACAATATTAAACCAGACGCAAACACACTTTACAGCTAAGTCGTCAGGCATTTTGGAGCCAAGGCTTAACGCGAATGGATTATAAATGATCTTAAAGAGCAAGTCACCCCCAAATCACCTTTTTTGCTGATAAAGTAAATAAACGAGTGTCTAATCGTGCTGCAGACACGTGTCGTCAATAATTTAGCACTTCAGTGCATCTTAGTTAAAATTTAAATATTCTGCCTAAAACTGGCAGTGTTGTGCCGTTGTCAGGTAAAAACTCTGCTCTGTATTTTAATTTAAATCTGCCACCGCTATTGGCTAAGAGGTATGCTATGATGTAAACTGGTACATTATGATGTCACAATGCTGTCGTGAGCCTGTGTGTGTGTATTTGTTAGCAGCTCCGCCTTCTCGGTCTGCCAGGCAACAGCATGTGTTGCATTTTTCAAACATGAAGAGAGAGTGGAGTTAGACTCTGGTAGGGGTTGACTTGCTCTTTAAGTCATTTTTAGAATAAATGACTTAATTATGCAAACCAGGATAGATTTCCTCATCTGTTCTGTTGGAGTGTGATGGTATTGGCAACATCTGTGCTGTCTCATTTCACCTTTATGCATCAGCAGCTGCAGAAAAGAATGAGCATGCATGTTCTCCTTGCTGCAGAGGCAGCTCCTCTGGCTCTGCTGGACATTTTGAAACGGTAACTTGAAAAATGATTGCTGACATCAGCTCTTTCTCCTGCCTGGAAATAAAGTGGAGCAGTGCAGCTACAGAAAGCATCCCCAAGAGGGTAAAACTACCTGAAGGGTGCAAAACGCAGGCAGATGGAGCACAGTCGATGGAGGGGGTGTTGGTCACA